TTTTATTTTTTATATATATATATATATATATATATATATATATATATATAATATTACTACTTTATTTTGATTTAAATATTTATATTCGTTGTAATTTATAGAGTTGCATCGGAAATGAGATAGAAAATCTATAATCTTATTATAAATTCTTAAAAATGTCAATGATTTATTCTAATTTTATATGAGATCATGCTTACCATAATGTAAACCTTTTGTAATAGAAAAAAGTTTTAATTTTTATAAACACATATTCAAATAATTCACCATTTCTCAAGTTTATATGTATGTTAAAAATTATAATAGTACTATTTTAATTTTTTTTATTAAATAACATAAGGTCCGATATTATTTAACCTATTTTTTTTCTACTTAAGGATTTTGTGTTAATATGAATAAAATAAAAAATAATTTTAATGACTTCCCCCTCTATTTTTTTATTTTATATTTAAGATAAGAAAATAAACACTTTTTAAAAAATAATTATCCAAATTAATTCACATGAAAAAAAAAAAATCTTATCTTGCTAAAATACTAGTAATGCACCTACATACCAATTATATCCATTAGTGCATTAATTACTTGAAAGTAGGAGCCAATACATATTGAATTGGATCATCTTCGGAGCATATTATTATTTAAAGTGGTCAACTTTAAATCTTTAATCGGTTCGTATTGGTATAGTTTTTTTTTCTTCTCATTTTTTTGTCTACAACCCGAAGTAAACTAAACCAATGATATTCAAATTAGTTCGAATAAATTAGTTTTATTATTAAAATGATGAAAAATAAAAATAAAAAAATGAAGAAAAAATAGGAAATTACATTGAGTTGCTTGCAAATTACATTATCATTTCAATATTGTATAAACATTTAACAAGAGTTTGTTATCAAAATTTAAGCCGATAAAAATGTCATAATACTTTTTAACATCAAAATCCAAAATCTGAACTATTCAAATTTATTGCAATGTTTTAATCTAAATGAATCTAGATTTTTTCTTTCATTTTAACTCAGATTCATTAGATTATTAAATTGGTCTAGAACTGTGTACGCCTTACTTGAAAGTGTGATTGAAAAAATAATTTTTATTTTTGAGAATCAAATTTTCTATATAAAATTTTTTACGACGCTTATGCACTCTACTTAACAACTAAACTAGATTCATTGGTATTAATATATATTTTTATAGTTAAAATAACATAATTGTAATGGTGGTTAATATCAGTCCCAAATTGATAAGCGGAAATTAACTACTCCACACTGTTGACATGTGAAATTTAAGAGGTGGGTCGGAGTGTGGATCTCGATAATGCATGCTAATTAAGGCATTTTCCCAAATCATGAATTACCACGAAAACCACCTAACACTGCCACTCACATTCACAAAAACAATGGCTTTGACCACAACATAAATTAGGCAAGAAACCGGTCTCACATTATTACATCATTAACATCACTAAAATATACATTAATTCATTGTGTTTAATATTTAATAAATTTAAAATATGTATACCACTAACTTTTAAGAAATAAATCCCAAGATTTATAGAAAATTTGTTAGGTAAAATAGAAGTAACTCGTGCATGTATGAGATGGGTAAGGTACCATGGTGCCCACAACGACAGACACAAGCTGACCAAGGGGTTGAAATTGGTGACTTTTTTGCACAATTTCCACACTATACTTATTTTCCCATGCTTTTATATATTTATTTACTTCCCTCTTTGCAATTTGTTTCAAGAAATTATATTGTTCCTCGTTAATTTTCTCCATTCCTTTTTCATGAATCCCATATCCATGCATCATGGTAGTTGGTAAGTATGTATGATCCTAAAGAGAGTTATGTCAAGTATATGATCAGTTAACTTGTATAGTAACCAGAGTGTTAGATATTTATTGTAAATTGATATGTCTCGTATTATTAAAAAACATATTAATAAAAAAAATTTCAAATTTATCTCGATTTTTTTTTTTTTTTTTGTATATTTGCTGGTCGTGATAATAGGGTGAAACATGAGTGAATACATTCTTGCTAGTGTTGTCGTCTAGCTTTGGATAGGAAATGTGAGTACCAATTTGCCTCCATTTTTGACATTTTTCTTCTAATTATTGAAGCTATACAGAATCTACTCTGCTCCATTTTTTTTAATCTCTCAAATAAATTATATTTAAGCAGTGTCGTTCAGCTCAAATTAAGCTTATAAAATGGGCATTAAAAGCCATCACAAATCAAGAAGACACTCACCGTTTGATTGATATTATAGTGAGAAAAAAGAAATGGACTCCGGAGTGGAAAGTGAGCCAATAAAAGAAAATGGAAAGGTGTTGGGACCGACATGTAAAGAAATACGTGTCATTGAATTTTATATTGCATTATGAGATCTACCAGCTTTTGATCTTTGACTTAAGTGTGGACTAGACAAGTGTTGTGAATCAACTTGTATTTCCGAGCCAGTCACACTCACCAATATTCTTTTCTTTTTTTTACCCTATTTCTTCTTCTGAACAATTCTTGGTTGGATGATTTTCTTTTCTCTTGTGCGTGAGTAACATGTTATAATGGCCATAAAAGAAAATAGATATATAACTTGTATTTATAAGTATTCACTGTTATCAGGTTTAAGTTGAGTTCCTTAGTGCAAAAAACAAAAAATACCATGTTATTTAATATAAGAAGATACAAATTTTATTGTTAAAGATGATCTCAGTCCATAGTGCTCTCTGTCAATGTAGCTGACCATTTTTTAAAAGGAAAGAACACTAAAATATAAAACGCGTAATCAAAAGGTCAAACATTTGAGATTCCTATTCCGGTACACTTGCAAAATAGAATTGGATTGTTCTTAATTTAATTTGCTAATTTGGTACTGAGAAATGAGAATATGGGCAAGCAAAGATTTTGAGTTCAATAATTTTGTCTCTATTAATTAATTCTTGCATCAAACAGTTGGTGAAGATTTTTTTACAAGATCAAAGCCTAAAATAAGATTTAAGAAATAGACCAAGTATTTTTCGTGAGTCAGAACCGCATTTCCATTTCAAGGTAAAAATAATACATATTTTATAAACAATATCCTCCATTGGACAGTTTAAAATTAGATGGTTGATCTCTGAAAACTCTCAAGTCCCCACCATTGCTAGAAAGTGGGAATTTGAAGCTCAATCTATGCGAACAAAACACAGGGAAGATCCGGTTTGTGGGAAACATACATGATAAGCTAATAATGAAGCAACGAAAGAAATGAACGAGAATCAATGTTAGAGGGACAAAGTCAATAATAATTTCACACATTTTCATTTCTCTTTGATGAAGTCACATGAAGTAGATAACCCAGTGGCCCCAATCCTTCACAGGCTTAATTAGCCTTTTTCCTAGCCCAAAAATTTTAAAATTAAATCACCAATTTTAGAAGACTGTAAATGAAATGAAAACCTAATACAAAAATGTTTCAATGAAGAGTTAAAGTGATTACACTTATTCGGTAGATGGAATACCATCTAAGTAATATCAGTAAAATCTGTTGTATAATCATATTCAAAATTGAAGCTTCAACTTAAGATTCAATATGTAATTTACCTC